CACCACCACCACCATCCAAGTCATCATCATCTCCCACTGAGCCCGCTACAAAGAACTCTGCAGCCAGCCTCCCTGCCTTCACCCTTACCTTTCCGACCATTCACATCATCTTTTCACAATACAAATTTAAAGACAGCTTAATGCAACGCATGACCCTTGATTGGTTTCCCAAAAATAGAAAGTTATAAAGGACACTAATGAGACCACTGGGGAAATTTGCATGTCAGCTGTGTATGAGATAATAATATTGCATGAATGTTAAATGTCTTGCGTGTGGTAATGGTATTGTGGTTATGTAAGAAAATGTCCTTGTTTTCAGAAGATAGATGCTCAAGTCGATAGTAGTGCAATGTAAAGATTTTTGCAACTAACTCCCAAATGACTGAGCAAAAATAACAATGATTTTATTGTTGTTATTATAGACATACAAAGTCAAAGAGAGACAAAGCCAGTCTGGTAAAATGTTGTCAGTGAATCTAGATGAAGCGTAAATAGGGAGCTCACTTTACTAATCTTGCAACTTTTCTGAAAGTTTTTAAAATTTTTTTAAAGGCTAGGAAAAAACACGTCATTATGTTCAATTTCTTGAGCGAGATAAAGATATTATGGTTATACAGGAGAATATCCTTTTCTTAGGTAATACATGTTGGAGTACTTGATGGTGAAATGCCTCTACTATCTGCAACTTATTTTCAAATTTGATAAGTATATTTTTAAAGTATACAGGTATATAAAAATACTTGAATATATATTTATAAGCATATACTATACATAAATGTAAAAAATATTGAAAGGTAGCTATTGCTTTGGATCCTATTTTTCTGCAGGTTTGACATTTTTCAAAATTAGAAGCTGGGGAAAATACTTGGGAATATATGGAGAAATAATCGATAAAATATTAAAGATAAAAAATAAAATACAAATTGAAAACTTACATATCATCTCGGAAAAAAAAAGCTCATCCCGTTACAACCCTAATTAAAACCTTCACTAGCCTCCCACTGCTACCAGGATAAAGACAAAGTCACCTAACAAGGCCTACAAGGTCCAGTATGGTCCAGCCCCTGCCTTCTCCCAAGCACGCCTACCTACTCACTCACTCCCCATCACCATTATCTCTGCCCCCTCCCCGCCACCTCCCGCCCTCCTCCAGGCTCCGACTACACGTAACTAGACCCTAAGTAACCACTCCTCCAAAGTTCTCTCTCCTGGCCTTTGCGTGTGCGACTACCACAGCTTGACTATGAGGGACTGAGACAGCGGCTTTCGAGCTGTCTCTTCTAAACTGTTCTCCTAAAATCTCCTCTCTGAAGTTTCCTCTGCGCCCCAGGTCTGGCTGACATGACTCCTTAGAATCCTGTTCTCCGTCCCATCATAGCACTTAGCACACAATATTGTAACTGCCCGCTTGCTTGTTCATCCTCAGTGCTCTCGAAAATTCTCGAGGACCGGACCAGCTTTATTTCCCAGTCTCCAGGACTGGTCTGCGCACAGTAATTATGTGTCCAGTAAATGTAACGAGCTTCCATTTTCTTGTATGTAAAGTAAAGGAGTTCAGCTCGATGGCAATAAAATGTATCAAGTAACAGCAGTCCCAACTGAGCAGGAATTCCCGGATTTATTCCAACTCTGCTTCACAACCTAAAAGCACGAGTCGCCAAAGCTCATAGACTACAATTCCCGTGAGCCCTCGGGGCATCACGTGGTGCCTGCCCATTCCATTACTGCGTAGCTAGGACTCCATTTCCCAGCGTGCCTGGGGACGCGACGAAGGCATTTGTTCGAGAACTTCAGGAGTCCGGTCCCTGAGCCACAACTGTGGTAGCCAAGGCTGAGCGGAAGGTAGAAAGGGCCCAGCCTGGGGTTTAAAGGGGACACTGGCTCAACCACAAACCCCGAGTTGCGCGTACCCTGTCTTTGCAACCGCCGGCCCACTCTCTGCTAAAGTGCCTGTTCGCGGGCCCTTTCCGATCCCTCGTAGGCCCTCTGCTGCCGGCAGCTGGAGGCCAAATTCCCCCACGTCACACAGAGGGAAGGGTTGGTGTCTGGAGTTGAGGCGGGCACCCTGCAGGAGCGGAGTGCGGATGTGGGCGGTTCGGGGTGGGAGGCCCTGACCCTCACTGCTCTGGGCCTTGTCTCTGCGGTAGCCGATGCTGAGTGGGCAGCTGGTCGGGCGCCTGTTCTCCATGGCTGGTCGCGTCTGTTTGTCCCGGAGCAGCGCAGGATTGGGGACTATCGGTCCCGTCGAGGCAGCCATTCGCAAGAAGTTGGAGCAGGCCCTGAACCCCGAAGTGCTGGAGCTGCGCAACGAGAGCGGCGGCCATGCGGTCCCACCAGGCAGCGAGACGCATTTCCGCGTGGCGGTAGTGAGCTCTCGCTTTGAGGGACTGAGCCCCTTACAACGGCACCGGCTGGTCCACGCTGCCCTTTCTGAGGAGCTGGCTGGGCCAGTCCACGCACTGGCCATACAGGCGCGGACCCCGGCCCAGTGGAAGGAAAACCCTCAACTGGACATGAGCCCCCCTTGCTTGGGTGGGAACAAGAAAACTCGGGGAACCCTTTGAGCCTCGGGAGAGGGAAGACCAGGATGCTAATGGTTTGTCTGTGAATAAACTACGGGCTTTCTTCCGGTCAATACAGTCTGGTGTTTGTAAGGGATAAGGATCCTTGGGTCCCATTTAGCCAGCATATACATATCCTCTGGAGATCAGAGCTTACCCAGGGAAAGAGTAGCCTCAGGTGATCATGGAGGGCTTCCCTGGGGGGAGTGACCTAATTGGATCTTTAAAGGAAAGTCGATTTAAACCTGAAAGGAGAGGAAAGATGTTACAAGTAGGGGGAAGAGCTCAAGCAAAGGCAGAGAAGCTGGACGAGACAGTGACTTGATTGGACAAGACAGGAGTTACAAATACATTTTGAATTTCATACCAGGGAAATGTTTGGCTTTCTATCAACCTGTCCATTTCCAAAAGGATTTGCCTTTGTTTCTCAGAAAAATCCTTAACAAAACAAAAACTAAAACACACTAAGGCAGTGCAAAGATGATAATACAAAAAATGAATATAGAAGGAGAAAACTTTATATATAGTCCTTTTCCTTATGAGCCTTTTAAAGTATTTCTGAGGGGAGCTGAAGTGATGTCCAGATAAACAACTTTAATGACCTCAGTGTGGCAATAGACTCTAGATACTAAAGAAAAAGATGAACATAAATTTTGATCATTTTGAGCTATAGTTTAGACTGCATCTGGTTGGACGATAGGAAGTCACTGAGTTTTGAGGAAGGGCATACCACAGAGCATTCTGGGGCAGAGTGACCTGGCAGTGATGTGTAAGTGAATTGGCATAGGAGATGAGAGGCGCAGAGATCAACCAAGAGGGAAGGTGGGACCCTGACTTCAAGGTCAGCTGTAGGCTGGAAAGAATGGAGTTTTATTAGAGAGCTACCATTAAAAAAAAAAAAAAAAAATCAGAAAATGGCTTGATTAGAACAGAGCACAGACATAGCCATTTGGAATTTTAAGGATTTATTTCCTTTTTATTTTTCATCGTTATTTTTCATTTCATTTTTCACATCAACAGAGTTGAGTTTAGGGGGGTGCCCCAGGAGAGCAGGAGAGATGGATGGGCCCCTTCAGAGGGCACAAGGGAGAAGGCTGCGTCCAGCAAATGAAGGGTAAGGAAAGGGGGTACACACTTGTACACTGGGCACTGGAGAAGGCGGTCCTTTGAGCACAGACACCAAAGAGTTAAACAGTCCCCACCTGGTTCAGTGTTACAAAATGGGGGAGAGACCACAGGGTGGGGGCACCAGACGCAGCACGAGGAGGGTGAATTTGGATTTTCTTTTTTTGTTGTTGTTTTCACTTTTTTCCTTTTAACTTTTTTTTTTTTTAACATTTTACAAACAGCTAAAAACTACAACACGTCACAGCTACAGTGGGGGGTGGGGGGGCAGGAGGGCACCAAAGAAAGCAGCCACAGTGGGGTGAGACAAGGGCAGCTTAACTTACCGGGGCTATCATGTAGAAAGGGTGAAATGGGGAAACTGAGGCTTCTGGTCCCACATTAGGGGGTCCCTGGCTTATTGCCCAACCTCTTCCCACTTCAGAGGAGTTGCTGGGAGGGCCCCTGCTTTCTGCCCCTGCCCCAGCTCCTTGTGCTTTTTGATCTGCTGGTTTGACCCCATGCCTGGTTTCTTTCCCTCCCCTGCTACCCTGCCTGTGAGGGGACAGGTGGGGGGTGGGAGGGCAGCTGTGCTGTCCCTGTCTGTGCTATTGTGGGTAGAGCCTCTCACTCCAGAGGCCTGTGCTTCTTGAGAGGAGGCGAGGAGATGGACCTCGTCAGGTGCCCTTGGTCCGGCTAGACTGCAGGACTCATCCTAGCCTGGCCTGGGGCTCCTCCCTCCCAGGCCTGGCCCAGAAACAAGATTAGGGGAGGGACTACGGGAGGCAGGTAGTGTGTGTATCCATGGAGATGACCCTTGGCTTATATCTTAGGACAGTGACACCCCGCCCCACGGCACATACACACACATACGTGAAGTGTTACACATTCACACACACACAGTCCTGCTGAGCTGCCTCAGAACTTAATATATAAATAAATAAGAATCAGCTAATTTCATAAAACTCAGGCTCCTTACTTGTAGCCCAAATTGGTGGGGAGGCCAGGGGGCTGAGGTTTATTGCTACTCCCCCAGCATCTGACAGCTGTGAGAGGGCACCTGAGGCCCTTCCAACTCTAAGAAGTTCTTTTGGTCCATGGACTACACGGAGCCCCAGCCCCCAGCGCAACCACATGCCCACGGTTTCACCAGGGCCCAGGTAGAGGGGATGAGGGGGAGGGCAGGAGGCCTGTTCTGGACCCCCTAGAGCCAGGAAGAGCTAGGATCCCTCACTAACACTGGGGGAGAAGGGGGAGCCCGAGCCTTCTCCTGTGCAAAGTCAATGGGGGGTAGGAGGTGGGGAGGAGAGCTGCATCCCCAAATGGGGATGAAAGAGCCTTCCCTGTAGTTCCTGCCCACGGGGTCACACACATGCACACGCGCACACGCACACACAAACACACGGCTAAGACACGGAACACAGGGGAGTGGGGAGTGAGGCTGCTCGGGCCGGGATGGCAGGGCAGGGAGGGAGAAGGAGCCGTTGGCCTCACAGTGTGCCTGCCACCCTCGAAAGCCCGGCGGCCCTCTCACTGCAGCACCTGCCCCCGGGTCTCAGGCAACTTCAGGGCCAGAGAGCTCCCGAGGGCAAGCGCGGCCGAGGCAAAGAGGATGGGGGCAGCCTTGGTGATTCCCACAAAGGATGTGAAGATGCTGATCCCCAGTACGGCTGCCAGTTTACAGAGGGCGTTCAGGAAGCCGAAAGCTGTGGTCCTGTTCCAAGTCCCCAGGGCAGTCGGAAGAGGAGATAAAGAAGAGGCACGGGAGGATTTGTCGGGGATGGGCAAGTAGGTGGGAGGGCAACGGAGAGATGGCAGGTGGTGTCCGAGAAGGAGAGGAAGGATGGAAGGATAGGAGAGGTGAGGCATGGACATCAGGGAATAGAGATTGGGAGGCAAGGTGAAAAGACCAAAAAATTTGGTTAATAGCTAAGACTTCAAGGAGCGAATACTAAAGTTAAAAGCCCTTAGAGGAGAAACTCCATGTGAATGTGCGTCCTTCTAACCCTAAAGATGATCTCCCATTCAGCCCACTTCCTTATCCCACCTCCCCCAAAACCGGCGGCCCTGCCCCCATGACACTCCTACTACCTCTTGTCCGAGGGGTAGAGTTCAACGGTCAACACGTCCAGCGCGTTCCAGGATGCAATGCTGACCCCCCCAAAAAGGCAGAGCAGGGCGATCATGGCTGACTCGCTGTTCCCAAAAGACAGGAAGAAGCAGGAGACACAGGACATCACGCTGGAGCCAGCTGGAGCCAGGAAAGGAGGGAACATGAACCCAGCCACAGTGATGCCCATCCACGACCCACCCCATGCCATCAACCAGGCTTGAGGGTAGCCCAGGATGAGACTCTTCTTCCCAAAGGACTCAAAACGAAGGCTCCTCCCTCATCCCCAACCTCCCTTATAATTCTCTTTTTACTAGTAACGTCAGTAACAACCATCTCTTCAATGACAGCTATGGGCCAGGGAGCCTGATCTTTACATGCATTGATCTGATGCATCAGGCAGGTACTGTCATCACCCCCGTTTTGCAGACGAGACGCTGGGCTCAGAGAGGTGAAGTAACTTGCCCAAGGTAGGGGCAGAGCTGAGATTCAAAACCCATAGCCTCCAAGCCTGCGTGCTCGCTATTCTGCCTACCTCCTTTACCCCCCAGAGAAGCTTCCACGCCAGGCCCCACCCCATCTCACAGCCAAGACCTAAACAGAAGAGAGAGAGAACCTTCTCTGGCTAAGCTTTTCCGTCAGAATCAGGGGAGAAGCGTGTTGACAGCCTCGCCCTGCTCCCCGGCCCCCGAGTCAGTTCTGTCACACCACCACCCTCCCGCCCCCTTACCAAGCATCCGGAGCCTGCCAATCTTGTCCATAAGCAGGGCAGACACGATGTTCCCGGGAAGCACAGCCAGCGTCCCCAAGAAGCTGACAAAGTACACCATGTAGGCGCCTTCGCCGGTCCCTGTCACGTCCAGTGGGCAGCCCTCCTTGTTGTGCAGGAACGTGCTGTTCACCAGACGGCTGTTCACAAACTTGTACTCAAACAGGTCTGGGGGCCAAGACCAAGGAAGGCAGGTGGTCAGTGAAATGTGATAGGGAGGCTCAAGGCAGGGCTCAAGGCGCTGCCTTTGTGGGGTTAGTGGGACGGGGGCGGGGGGGGGGGTAGTGGGGGGCAGGGCTCTCAAACTTGCTCAGGGCATTCATTATAAAACATCAAATGAAAGCACCCTGGCAACCAGGATTGTTCCTATGGTGCAGGAAATGACCATAGTCTATGAAACCGAACAGTGGAACTGGCTGTTTCCAAGTTATCTCACTAATAATCTTTGCTTCTTATTCATTCCTTTTGTCTGCCCTAGCTGACTATAAGCAGTAGTGGTGCTGTGGGTCTAGGAAAAATTCCTGAGCCAGATATTAAAAATCATTAGAAGTCCTTTCCATTATTTTTCCTTGCAAGGTGGGAAAAACTTACCCAGTACTCCATTAGGGGTGGGATACTCAGTCTAGCTGACAAAGCAGCAGTTCATGTTTGATTCTCAAATTTGAGAATCACTGTTTTAAAAACTGGACTAATGTGGGGTGCCTGTGGGGGCTCACTGAGTTAAGCAGCAGACCCTTGATTCCCACTCAGGTGGTGATTTCAGGGTAGTGGGGTCGAGCCCTTCGTGGTGCTCCCTGCTTAGCAGGAACTCTGCTTGAGGCTCTTTCTCTCTCCCTCTGCCCCTCCCCACCCCACCCCTCAAATAAATGTTTAAAAACAAAACAAAAATAAAAACAAAACAGGGTGCCTGGGTGGCTCAGTTGGTTAAGCAATTGCCCTCAGCTCAGATCATGATCCTGGAGTCCCAGGACCGAGTCCCACATCCGGATCCCTGCTCAGCAGGGAGTCTGCTTCTCCCTGTGCCCCTCCCCCCTCATGCTCTTTCTCTCATTCTCTCTCTTTCAAATACATAAAATCTTTTTTTAAAAAGATTTTATTTATTATTTATTTGACACACAGAGAGAGATATCATAGGTAGGCAGAGAGGCAGGCAGAGAGAGAAGGGGGAAGCAGGCTCCCTGCTGAGCAGACAGCCTGACACGGTGCTTGATCCCAGGACCCTGAGACCATGACCTGAGCCGAACGCAGCAGCTTTAACCCACTGAGCCACCCAGGCGCCCCCACAAATAAATAAATAAAATCTTTAAAACAAACAAACAAACAAACAGGCACTGGACTAATGCAATGATTTCCAACCTTTTACCCACCAAATATCCCTTTTATGATTTTTTTCCTGAAGACCCTGTTGGAATGAGTTTTGCCCTCTTCAAAAGTGCATTCATAACATCACACAGTTACTTGAATTCCAGCTCAAAGGCAAAGAACTTTGATGTTTTTGCCAGGTAGTCTTAAAACTATTACAGAGAATGTTCCATTTCCGTTCGATTTTTGGAATTCTTGGTAGTAGCTCACAGGCCCGCGTACCACCTTCCTGCAGGGCCCCACGGATCTCAGCTTGTGAACCCTGAGCTAGGGAATGAGCAAGGCTCCTTCTCCCCCCTTCAGGGTCCACCCAGCCCTTTGGTCTGACAGCCACCGGCCACACCACCTTACCAGTGTTATAGAACACAGTGTTGATGAACGTGCAGTTGCGGAAGAATGTGTTGCTCGAAGTGACATCCTCGAAATAACACTCCTCAAACAAGGAATCCTCAAAGGACACTGACTTCAGACGCAGCCCGATGAACCTGGAAGGCCAGGATGATGAGACATACTTTCCCCTCACCCTCATACCCTCCTCAAAGACTCATCCCTTGGAAGTGAGGAGAAACCCCAGGTATTTACCCCCCAAACACCCCGTCTCCGAACTCCCAGGCTCATACAAGAGGTAGAAAGGACAGGGAAGAAGAGACATGGAAAGCTCCCCATGTACTTGTCATTGAAGTACTGTCCCCCGCGGTGGATCTGATTCTCCAGCGTGAAATTAAAGGTCACGTGCTCCACACGCTCCCCAGAGAACAACTTGGTCCGGGCTGCATAGTCCACTGCCTGGAGATGGCGGATCATGTCAGGAAACCAGACAGTCAGGCCGTAGTAGCTGGAGAGTCAAGGACGATGGAATCAGACAAGGCTCAGGATTAGGACCAGAGGGTCCAGAAATGAGGGGGGAGAGAGTCAGGACCTTGCTCACCTCTCTAGCCTCATCCCTCACCCCTCCTCCCTTCACCGACTGCCCAGGGTCCGGGGGGACTTCACATTGGTCTACTCACCCACCGCACTCTTATCTCCCATGCATCTGCTCTGCCCTTGGCCTGGAACAAGTCTCCCCACCCCACCCCCACCCCCAGCCTGTCTAACTTCCATCTGGTCTTCAGGACTCTGATCCCCACCGCCCCCACACACCCCCTCACCTGAATGACATGGTGAACCACACGCCCATCATCATCAGAGTGATGCGTCGATATTCGGGACCAAAACAGGAGAGGAAATTGCCCCAAACCTAGGTGGAACAGAACAGTCAGACAGAGGCTGCACTAACTTCTAGTACCCCCAGGTCCCCCCTTCTCCGACTCAACCCCCTCCCTTCAGGTCACCCACCATCCCCACACACAGGCTCCAGCCCTGCCTTCATCTCCACCTCTCCCGCTCCCTTCTCTCTCTTCACGGAACCATCCCTCGTTACCTGCCCCCCCAGGCTCAGGGCCCGGACCCCCCAGCGCTGGTACCAAGTCCCCGTGTCTGACTGGATTTCGATCAACTCATCCTCCTGATGAATCGTCTTAATGTGGGTTACCTGGGGTCAAGATCGGGGGTTAGCCATCATATAGTCTGTATTTCCCAACCCCATTCTGGTGCCTCGGTTTCTCCTCCAGGAGCAAAATGCAAGCAGGGGGTGGGGGACAGACGTGCCACGATACCCCGAGAGATGACATTGAGGGAGGGTGTGGGGTATGGTTGGAGAGGTCAGGGAAGGTAGAGAGGGGCTGGTGGGGCTGGGACCGGAGTGCTGTGGAGGATCGCGGGGAGGGCTGTGGCTTACAGAGAAGACTCGCTCAGGATGGCCCTTGGCTCGCATGTTGGTGTCATGAACCTGCTTCAGCACCATCCAGGCCTCATCATGCTTCCCGTTCTAGAGCCACAGACACAGTTCCCATATCTGGGTTAGCTCCTGCCTGAGCCAGGGCAACAGGCCCCCTCCCTGTGGCTTCTCTAGTCCCAAGATACAAAAAGGCTCCCCCCACTACCTCCGACCTCTGGGCACGGACATCACCTGCTCTGAACGAGGGCCACGAAGGGATACGGCAAAATATAATCGGACTTGGGCCATAGTAGTGGGAGTCCAGGAGACAGATACAACTATGGGTCCTAGGGATCCATGGGGACAATGAAAAGAGAACTGAAAACAAGGGAATTGATGAGGGCAAGGAGATGGTCAGAGGAAGAGCGGCTTCCTAACCCTCCTGGACCAAGATCTACTTGGAGAGGGAAGAAGTAGAGGATGAGAACGTCTCTTGAACTCTAAAGTCGGGACCAGGCCCCCTGCCCACAACATCTTAGGCCACTGCTGGGTGAGGAGGTACCCTCGTTTCTCTGTGCACAGAGACCACCCCCTACAGAGATACAGCACCAAAGGAAGCAAGCCAAAGACCCCAGAAGTATGGACCCTGCGAGGGTCCCCCAAACCAAACCCACCGTGAGTGCTTGAACACAGAACCCCCTGCCTCCCGTCCCCCGGGCCAGCCCCCACCCCACTTACCTCCAGGAAGAAGCGGGGGCTCTCCGGCTGTGTGGTCAGTGCGCCGATGGCAAACACGGAAGGGAAGGCACAAACAAGGACAAACACCCTCCAGCTGTGGAACTGGTAAGCGGACCCCATCTGAAAGCTCCATCCTGGCAGGGACAAGTCAGCATCAGCAGAGAGGCCCGAGGCTGGGGGGGCTCCCACCACCAGGCACCCGGCCGAAGAGGAAGACACTGGGGCACGTTCCCTGGGGGCTGCTCACCATAGTGGGGGATGATGGCCCAGGCCATGGCAGCGGCATACACTCCACCAATCATCCAAAACATGCAGAGCCAGCTCAAATGCTCCCCACGTTTCTCCTGGGCCAGAAACTCCGAGAAATAGGAAAAGACAATGGGGATGGACCCTCCAATCCTGGAGGGCATCGCAAGAGATTAGAGCATTAGAAAACGGCCCGTTCCTGATCCCTTGCCCCAGCGCTCTGCATCCCTGAGTGCCTTTCATCTGCCAGACCTTAGTAAAGAGATTTCTCCCACAGTGCCCTGCATACTCCCTCCCCAGCAGCCAGCGAGCACCCATCCTGGGGACCCTGAGAGACAGGCAGGGAGGCCTCAGGGGCAGAGGAGGCACAAACGTTGAATCTTGAAGATGATTGCAGAGTTGCATGAGAGGGAAGATAATTATGGACAAGAGGGGAAATGCCCAGAGGAGAAAGATGGGAAAAGAGTCTGAGGGCAGGTCTGTGGGGAGCAGGCCAAGGACAAGAGCTTGCGGCCCCGGCAATGAACGCATGCTGGTACCTCAGGGAGCGTGGGAGTGTGATGGGTCAAGGATTCCAAGTTCTGGCCGCTGTGGGTGTTAGCAAGGTCTTTTATCAAATGCAGGAAATATGTCAACAGGAAAGGGGATAACTCAAGGGTTTACAGGCACCCAGGGCTAAGGCTGAGACCCACCAGGCCTCTTCATGGAGCCAGTCTCAGAATGGAATTAGAGGGTAGGTGGCAGACTGAGGAGAGGACCAGACAAGGAATGTTGTTCTGGACAGGCGGTAGATGGGTCCTGGACAGGGGGAAGCTGGCCTGAAGTTGGTAGGAGAAAGGAATTCATTCAATGCATACAGACTGGAGGGACATCTGGTATGCCGGCACTGTGTTGGGCTCTAGAAATACAACAGTGACCATGTACGGTCCTCCTTCAGGACTCCTCCAGGGGCTTAGGAAGTGGCCACTCACCCAACCCCGGAAAGGAGGCGGCAGAAGAGGAAAGTGCCATAACCCTGGACGAAAGATGAGAAAAAGGCGAAGACGCTGTTGACCGAGAGCGAGATGAGCAGACACTGCCTCCGGCCCAGCCGATCAGCCAGACCTCCCCAGAGGAAGGCTCCCACCATCATGCCCAGGTAGACTATAAGTCCTGAAGGAGGGAAACAGAGGCAGCAGGGGTATGAGAGGACATGCTTCCTTTCTCACACTTTGTGAGCATTAAGTGAGCTAGAGCTGCAGCAGAATGGATCGAGGAGCTGGAGGACTTCTAGAATAGCTAAGTCTACCCAGAGATGAGAGCAAGTAAGAGAAGGTGAAATATGAGTGAAGACAGAAGGCCACCCCTGCAGGCCAGGGATTCAAAGGCAGGAAGGCAGACATGGGAGATCCCAAGAATTCTTTCTTTCTCCCCCCCGACCCCTGCTCTCTCTTGCTTGCTCTCAGCTCTTGCTCTCTGTCTCTGTCTCTCTGTCCCTCTCTCTCTCTCTCACACACACACACCATCCCCATCTCTGGCTTGCCTGGAAGGAGCAATGGATTGTCCCAGACTCCCAAACCCTCCTAGGGTCACCTCTCCCCTCCCAGCCTTGATGCCCTCAAAGCAGCAGGAGGGGTCTCTCGTGTACCTGGGAAAGCAGCTCCCATTCCTTCTGTCCCCCCCATGAAATCCCCCACACAGAACCTGTCTTTTACTCCTCCTAGCTCTAGGGCTTCTGGACCTAAAACTCTCCTGTTTCTTACTTCCTTCCTATATTTGGAGTTGGAACTGATCTTAAAAATCATCTACTCCAGGGGCGCCTGGGTGGCTCAGTGGGTTAAAGCCTCTGCCTTCAGCTCAGGTCATGATCCCAGGGTCCTGGGATCAAACCCCACATCGGGCTCTCTGCTCGGCAGGGAGCCTGCTTCCTCCTCTCTCTCTGCCTGCCTTTCTGCCTACTTGTGATCTCTGTCTATCAAATAAATAAATAAAATCTTTTTTTGTTTTTTTTTTTTTAAGATTCTTATTTATTTATTTGACAGAGAGAGATCACAAGCAGGCAGAGAGGGAGGCAGAGAGAGAGGAAGGAAAGCAGGCTCCCTGCTGAGCAGAGAGCCCGATGCGGGGCTTGATCCCAGGACCCTGGGATCATGACCTGAGCCGAAGGCAGAGGCTTAACCCACTGAGCCACCCAGGTGCCCCAAATAAATAAAATCTTAAAAAAAAAAAATCATCTACTCTAAACTCCGCATTTTAGCCATGCTTCAGCCAAGCCCCAAGGAGTGGGGATCTGCCCAAGGTCTCATGGCAACTTGGGAGCAGGGCAAGAACGAGAGATCCTTTGTGGGTGAGTCTGAGGAGTTTCCTCCCTCAGGGTTCACATCAGGAAGGGCCATTAGAGACCACTCACTGGCCCTTGAACACTCCCAAGCCTGGCCAAGAGCAAGTGTGGCCCATCTTCTCTGGCTGAAGATGGACCTAGGATTGTTCCCCTATCCTAGTCAGCCTAAACTGACTTCCCATCTAAACTAGGAAGTTTAGACACTGATTTCTTGTTTCCCAGTTCAGGGAAAGGGTCAAGTTGACAAAAGGGAATTGTCCAAAGAAACATGGCCACCTCCTGGAGAACTAAGCAGACGGCCACCCAAGCCCCAGCCCAGCACAAACGACCTCACTGTGACCCAGCCTCAAGAGGAGGGTGTGTGAGGGGAGATTGTGCAGAGGAACTCCAAGCCCTCTGGGGACATCTTGGGACCAGGGTTCTAGGAGCCCAGTGGTAAGGACAGGGGTTCTCACGACCAAAGGTGTTTCTAGAGTTTGGGGCAGGACAGGGGTAGAGTGCCTCCCCAGTGTGTCTTACCTAGCATGCCTTTATTGGAGTCTGACAGGCACATGTCCTTTTCAGCACTGGGCAGCACAAAGCCCACCACAAAGACTTCGACACCATCAGCCATCAGCGCCAGGCCAAGCACGAAATAGAGTGTCCACTGGAAGCGGCCATGGCCACACTCCCGGAGGATGGCTTCGTACTGCTGAGCTAGTTCTTCCCGTTCTTTCCGCCGTTGCGCCTCCCCCAGGCCACCAGGAGGGCCCTCCCCATCACCCAAGCCCCCCCTCCCTCTAGCCAGGGGAGCCCCATCTGCCATCCGCTCGCCTTTGCCCCCAGACTCTGCCCGGGGGATGCCCTGATATTCCCCCTCATAGATCTCATCATCCTCATCGTGGCCCTCAGTGGCATCACTGGATGCGCCACCTTCCTCCTCGTCCTGGGCCCCTTCCCCACGGTAATAGCCATCAGCAGGGGCAGGGAAGTCATCGTCATCGTCCTCCTCCTCAAAGCGGGAGTAGGATCTACGGGAATATTCATCCTGGACTCTGTCCAGGCCCTTCACCACCTTCTTGGCCGCATGCTTCTTGACTTCCTTGGCAATGTCTTTGGCCCCACGGATGAAAGCTGCCCGGTCTCTGAAGCCTTCTTCCATGATGTCTTTGGGAATGCTTCACTATACCTCCTCCACTCCCTGCTCCTTATTCAGATTTTGTTCAAGGATTTGTGAAGTCAGAAAGCCTCCTTCCTCCAGGTACTTAGATGAAGTGTGTTCAAATATCTCTAGCCACGGAATGAGAAAATGGGAAAGTCTAGGAGGGGAAAAGAGGGTGAGGAGTGCTGGCCAATTCAGTTGGATACATGGGGAAGGGAGATGGGGAGCAGGGGAATAGGAAAGGAGAGGGGAGCCAGGTTGTGGGGGCTAAGACGAAGAGCCAGGATAACTCAGGAAAGTCCACCTACTTTTCTTCTAGAAGCTTCGGGAGATCTAGAAAATATAAAAAGGGGGGGGGAAAGGAGGTTGTGAAGCCTAAGATGATAAAGAAGGCCAAGCTAGAGCTCCCATCAACCAGAGCCCCTCTGGGGCCACGTATTACAGATGGTCTCCTTGCTTTAAGCCCACACTCAGTAAAAAGGGGTGATTTCCTGGACCAACTGTGGACTGTTCAGTATAAGGCCCCTTACTCTGACCTTGGAGATCAGCCCTATGAGATTTCTCTAGAGTCAGGGTCACCTAGAGCCCTCCTCCTGATCCCCTGTCCCACATAAAGATCAGATTCCTTGCTTTACCACCGACCTGCAAAGAACAAAACAGGAAATATGGGAAACCAGAATTCTCTATTCTAGTCCGCTCTGGCTTTCTTACTTGGTGCAGAGCTTGGAAAGAATGTGTATAGGGACCAAGTCCTCCCAACTGTTGACTCAGTCACCTGAAGTGAGGCTTCTGTGCTCCTCCCCTCAAGTTCCATGTTTGTAGGCCTCACAAGAAGGGGTCTTCTCAGTGGGTAAAAGATGGGTTCCAGAGTTGGAGAGACTTAGGTCTGACTTTTTGCTTCAGCACTTACTAGTTAAGTGACCTCAGGCATGACTCTGAACACCCAGTTTCCTCTTCCTTAAGAAGGGGAAAGGAAGGATTAAATGACACAATATGTAGAAGTTCCTTAGGATAGTACCCAGCACATACAAAGTGATGAATAAATACTAGTCATTACTCCTTGCAATGATGATAATATGGTGAGATCCTCTCCACTCCCTCATGAGACCCCAGGACAAAAGCCACCTCTGAATTTTCATGGAGAAAGCTGGTTTGGGGCAAAGCACACAACAGTTATATGACCTAAGTTGAAATCCCAGCTCTGCCATTTACTTTACTGACTGCTTTTGGGAAAATTATTTAATTTCCCTCAACCTCAGTGTCCTTATATTTAAACTGGGGATAATTTTATTTTTCTGAGTCCACAAGAGAATTCAACCTCATAGTAGATATTCTATAAATACTAGTTTCCCTCCTTCCTACTAGATTGAAAAAAAAAATGTGAAGGAAGCAGGAAGCAGCAAGAGAAGAACTGGAGGTTGTACTTGGAGGTTGTTGTCCAGTATCCTCCCAAAACAGAGTCCAAAGACCCCTCTGTGTTCAAATTAATTCCAGCAGATGGGCCCACACTGTCTCTCTCCAGACAAACTAAGGAAGACTCAAAAAAGGGGAGACCTGGAACCTGAGGTCATGGAGAAGAGGCAATGTCTGGCTGCTGCCACTTTCCCTCAGGACATCATCCATGGGCCCCTTCCCTAGTGTGGGCAGGAATAGAAATGGCTGATCAGATCTATACTTTTCCAGCATGGGGGTCTAATGTCCATAGCTGTGACTCTTTTCTCCAGGGCCTCCCTTCCTAATCCCCCTTAATCCTTCCTGCTCCTCCTCCGAGTCCACAAATACCGCACTGCGTAGGAGGCCAGGAGAGAATGAAGGGGGCCTTGGGCCTCCCCCCAAAAAAGACATCCTCCAGAGGGAAGCACAGGAGAAACCCCTTTCCTTCACAGAAAAAGAGGAAGCAGGATGAGATTCTGATCAGAGAACATTCCCCTAAAAATATCCTGCCTCCTGCTCCCACCCATCTAAGGCCTTCCTTAAATGTCTCACGTGCATACAGAAGCCCGGGTAGAAGGGGGTAAGTCACGCTACGTGGCTCAGAGAGAAGCACTGACAAGCAGGGCCTTAGCCCCTTGGGCCTGATGAGAGCAGTGGACCACAATGACCAAAACCAGTGACCCCTAGGTCACCTTCTTTTCTTTGTGATACAAGGCCCCAACCATCCCCCATGCAAGAGAGGGAAATGTGGAGTCCCCTCACTGCATGTCCATTTGCTTTCATCTCCTTTCATTCCCATCTAGGATCTCCCCCAACCCCCAAACCCTGAAGGTGACAGATGGACCCACCAGGAGCCACATCCTGTGTTTGTCAACACTAGTTACTCCTGAGAAGGTACATGGAGGGTAGGTAGATAAGGCCCCCAGAGCCACAGCCGGATATGATCACTCAACAGCCAGCTCCCCCAGGGCCAATGAGCCCAGGAGGTCAGAAGGGAGAGAAAGAAGACAAATTCTTCGAGTTGGTGAGGAAGTGGTGCTATTTTTAGCCCCCAAAGCAGCACAGGGTGGCTAAGCCTGTGGGAGAGAGACAGGACTTGAAGAGGTGGAGGTTATAGGAGACAAGATTCAGGGTTACATGGCCCTTTAAGGTTGGCTGGCTCCACCTGACCAGAAAAAATGGGCCCAGGAGATTTTCTGCAGAACGGGGGAGGGGGGCTCCCGAGCAAAGTCTGCCCTTCTGGACGATAAGGAGAGGGTCCAGAAGCCCCCCCCCCCCCAGCCCCGCCCCATCAAAATCCCTGACTTTGGGAGTCACCCGCATTCCCCAACCCTCCCTAGCCCAGGTGACAAGGTCATTAAGAAGCAGTCAGTTAAAACATCCACCTACCGGGGAGGTGGGGGGTAAAACGGGAGCGGGGGGTGGAGGGGTGGGGAGAGGGCTGGAGCTCCCCTTCTTGTTACAGCTGGGTGACTTGAGCCTCAGCTCCCACCCAAGGTGCCCAAGGCTGCACCTCCCCTCCTTACATCCTATCCCAGGCTTAGGAAGATGGAGCATTCACAGTTCGGAAGGGGAAAAAGATGAAGGTGTCCGCTGAGAAGGCACAGCGGAGGAATACCGAGATGCTGGGCGGCAGGGAGAGACCTCCACAAGCGCAGGCATAGAGACCGCCTCTACCGGCATTTGCAGCAATAGCCAACCCCCCAGCACCCCCCCACCCCATCTCGCCTCTGCTCTGGCGTAAGAGAGGAGCCCCTAGAATTGACTGAACCTATTCTCTGAGTGCCTCCCACCCCCCACCACCACCCTTCGTCCTGCCTCTGGGCAAGTGCCCATCATCGCTCAACACCCTTCCCCCCCTACCTGGGAGCAACGACCCAAAGCCCCTTCCAAGCGCGTTTCAACCCCGGTGGTTTACCATCTTTCTACCCAGCATCTCCATTCTTCCTTTCCCTTCCCTCCCTCCTTCACCTGCCCTTCCTCCTCTGCCCCCATCTCCCCAACTCCAGGCAAGCCGACTGAGGCAGTATCCATTCTCTGGCCCCAGCCAAGGTCACTTACCATTGCGGGGGATTGGTGGGGGGGGGGGCGGCGGAGGGTGTGAAAGGTGAGGAGGGCGTTGGACTTTGAAGGAACGCTAGCCCACCTAAAACCCCCCACCCCGTCCATATCTGAGAGGTAGTAGCGACTTGGCTAAGGTCGAGAAAAACACCCCTACTCCATATATGTATTCTGATTCTCACAGCAACTGAAATAAATATCCATTCAGACCACCACCAGCCCCCTCACCCCTAAAGTGGGGACGGTCAACCCCCCTCCCCCCCCCCCCCCCCCAGTAAAGCATCGGAGGATAAAATGGCTGCAAGGCAAAGCAAGGATGCTTCTGCCCCGGGTGGGGTGGAGGTAAGAGACTGAGAGACGGGTCTCACCTGGCCTGGGCGCCCCGGGTAAGGGGAGTCCCGGGTGCGGGCGGGGGTCCCGGGCGCGGGGCTGGCGGCAGCGTCGACTGCTGCTCCGAGTACCAGGGGAAGCGGCAATGCAGACCTGCACCCCCCCATACACGCTCCGGCCCCGCCTCCGCCCTCCTCCTCCCCCCCCCCCCCCCCCCCCCCCCCCCCCCGGCGCCACTGAGCACCGGGAGAGACCATTGTTGGGGGGGGGAGCTGCAGAAGAAAAAAGGAGGGGATGGCCTCAGGACATCGGGGAGCAACGATGGAGGGCCTAAGGGGGTTGTCACAGACACAGCTGGAGAGGACACACAGCACTTCCCCAGCCCGCTCCTAATAAAAGATGAAAGGAACTAAGGAAGGAATAGTGATGTTAGGAAGACAAGTGGGCAGACAGAAAGGGAAGTGGGGAACAAGGCAGCCCCTTTCCCGGCGACCCATTCCTAGTATGACAGGACTCAGGAATTTCAGGGCTTCTCTCTGCCTCCAAAACACCTCCCTTCTTCCCCTTCTCCACTAATCCCAGCCATACCCTTTTCCCACGACCCTCTCCCCAGTCCGGAGTGCTCAGAATTCAAGTTTACCTGGCCGTTTTAGAGAAAGCAAGAATAGCAAGGTTTTTTATTCTGAACTGCCAGAGGTGAGACTCCTGGATAGATCCCTGCCATCTTTTCCCAGAAACAGAAGCAGCCCCCATTATTTATTTCCAGTGCAGACCTCCCCGTCGTCCTCTCTTCAGTTGGTGGCAGCAGAGGTGAGTAGGGGAAGAAGCTGAGGGCGATTTACAGGCCTAACCAACTGGGCATTAACCCTTCTATTCATTTGCTCCAATGACTTAAGAAGGGACTCCTTTGACACCCCATCCCATTCCTTTTACCACACGTGTACACACACACACACACACACACACACACACACGAACGCACACACACACAATTCTGCTTTGGGGGCAGGAGATCCAAGACATACCCCTTAGTGATCAACCCTGCTCCAGAAGTGAGGGGAGCCCTGTGGTTTGGGTATATACATACTGAATGTCTATTCTAAGATGTGAGGGCTTGGGATATTCTGGACAGAGCACTGACCAGAGGCTCCTACCTGAGTTTTCACTTCGGTAAGCTGTGGGCTCTTGCTCAGGTTCTCTGCTTCTGGCAACTTCAGTTTCCTCATCTGGAAAATGGTGCGCTTGGCACCCTTTCCAATCTAGCAGTGTGTGATTCTACTTTACCAAACAAACATGGCAGTTTCAGAAGGTGGGAATATGGTGGATGGAGAGGCCTAGCCAGCTGCTCCCTGAGAGAGCACTAGGAGGGATTTCCAGTGTTGAATTTACCACTAACAGGAATGTCCATCTAAAAACAAGAAACCAGTTCAAAAGTCAGAGTGTTTATTTCGGATCAAAGAATTACAATCCAGGGTACATTGATTTCGGTTGAAACCCAAACAGCGTCCCAGTTACAGGAGGTGGACTCCAGGTTTTTACTGGGGGGAAAAGGAAGATTAGATAAGTTGCTTTTTTTTTTTTTTTTTTTAAGATCTTTTTTTTTTTTTTTCCCGAGAGAGAGAGAGAGAGAGAGAGAGCACAAGCAGGGGGAAGGACAGGCAGAGGGAGAAGCAGGTTCCCCACTGAGTGGGGTCCCCAATGCAGGACTTGATCCCAGGATCCCAGGGCCTCAGGATCATGACCTGAGCTGGAGGCAGACGCTTAACTGGCTGAGCCACCCAGGCGCCCCTGGACTTCAAAACTACATCTTGGAAGTACTTGACTGTGCCAGTGAAGTTTACAATCAACTGAAATACGAAGCATAATGTAGCAGTATTAATTTACCATGAGAAATGTTACTGTTGCTCAGACTCATATCCAGCAATTCTCTTCTTTAAACCAAATCAGAATCAGAATGTCAACATATAAATGCACAATGACATAATTGAACAGGAATATTTTTATCTTTAATGGCATCTGGCCATCCCCAGTAAGGAGTCATGCCAATGGGTTCAGAAAACTCTACTTGGCTACAATTCTCCACCCCCATCTCTGTTCTATGGGCAGCCTTGCCAATACTCCCGGACTACTCTAATTCTGTTGGCTAAAGCACTCTTTCCAGGATGGTATTTAGAAAGGCAGTGCCTGCCTGGACCTCAGGGACTCTCCCTTTACTCGGCTTCCATCGCTGACCTCTCTTCAGCTTGATACATTCTTTATTTAAATATGTTAATATTTTCAATTAGGTTACAGCCAAATCTTGCTGGCAGAGAGCTGGTTCTTCTCTTTAAGGTGACTTTGCATACTCTCCACTTATCCATTACTTGCTAAAATAGAAATATTATAGTCATACAGAGAAAGATAGTATATATTTTCCAGTTCTCAGGAAAGATTTGATTATTTTTCCCAGGAACTACAGACCCATGCACCCCAAAAGCTACTCCTTCACTGTCTCTCCTTTGCTGGTTCTATTAACACAAGAGTTCCTAGGGGATAGGTCCTGGCCCCTTTCCCCCTTCCATTCCCCCTTCCCCATTCTCACTTGTCAGATCAGATAGTCTCATGACTTTAGTGACATCTACATGCTGATGATTCCCACATTTATCTCTCCGGTGCAGACATTTCCGCCAAGCCCAAATTCAAAATCTCCACCTGTAAACTTATCAATGCATAGCTATCTCATTAGCATCTCAAATGTATTATCTGTAAACGAACTTCAGATTGAGGTCTTTCTCAACTCTTCACCGAGGTGCTCAGGCCAGAAACCTTGGAGTTATCCTTGTTTCCTTTCTTTATCAAGTCTTGTCAGCTCCACTTCAAAATATATTCTGAAATCTGTCCCTTCCCTGCCGCCCCCTAGTCTAACCCACCACCATCTCTGTCCTTTGCCACAGCAGCCTCTTAACGGATTTCCCCACTTCCAGTCTTTCTCTGCTAAAACCCATTACTCTCAGTGGTCAGGGTGATTCTCTAAAATCAAATCTAATCCAACAGATACTCTCCCAAGAGAAATGAGGGCCTATGTCCCGCAAAAAAGACAGGCAGGGGAGTTTTCCCAGTGGCCTCATTCATCATATTCAAAAACTTCAAACGTCTATCAGCCAAAGAATGGTTAAACTTAGATAAACAAACTGGTATATTCATATAGGGAATACTACATGACAAATTTTTTAGAGACTAAAATACTATAGGCAACAGGATAAAAAGATCTCACAAACAAAAGAAAGCAAAAGAAGCTGGACCAAAAGGAGTACATACTGTATGTTTCCATTTATACACTGTTCAAGGAAAAGCAAATTAATAGTAGAGGCTACCACCAGGAAGGGGAAACTGACCGTGGAGGGGCACAAGGGAACCCTCTGGGGGCTGGAAATGTACTAACATCTTGATTTAAACAGTGGTTAAAGGGGTAATTACATATGTAAAAATTCACTTAAAACCAATGTGTTTTTCTGAATATGTTAACCTGCAATTTTTAGAGAAAGTTTTTTTTTTATTTTTTTAAAAAGATTTTATTTATTTATTTGACAGAGATCACAAGTAGGCAGAGAGGCAGGCAGAGAGAGAAGTGGAAGCAGGCTCCCTGCTGAGCAGAGAACCCAATGTGGGGCTTGATCCCAGGACCCTGGGATCATGACCTGAGCCGAAGGCAGAGGCTTTAACCCACTGAGCCACCCAGGTGCCCCGAGAAAATTTTAATGAGATTTTACCACTCCCCTTTCTTTAAATCCTCCAATGGCTTCCTACTGTACTAAGAATTAAATCCAAACTCCTAATCATGGCCTCAAACTCAAAAGAGGGTTGCCTCTCCAACCTCTTCCTCATATCTCTGCTTCAGCCTCACTGATCTCCCTGCTGTGCCACCAACATGCCCAGTGCAGACACAGCAGAGGACCCTGGCACTTGGGGGTCCTGCCGCTAAAACTCCCTTCTCCCAGATCTTTGCCGCATCATTCAGGTCTCCACTCAAAAGTCACCTCTTCAGATGGCCCTCTCAACTCCACAGTCACTATCCTATCACCCTGCTTTATTGTTTTTTCTTACAAGATATCCCTCTCTAAAATTATTATTTTTCTTTATTTACTTTTTAAGTGTTTTGTCTTCTCCTACGTAGATTTTTGGTTCTAAGGAAGCAAGAACCTCATCTGGCATATTTACTGGCTGGCTATACCCCAGTATCCATCAAGTAAACATGTAATGAAAGAACATTCCAAATAAGTTAAAGACTATTACCTTTAGTGCCAGTGATAGGTGTTGAACTAATAGATAAAGAATTTGTTTGATGGGGTGCGTGGGTGGCTCAGCCGGTTAAGCGTCTGCCTTCAGCTCAGGTCATGATCCCAGTCCCACATTGGGCTCCTTGCTCAGCAGGGAGCCTGCTTCTCTCTCTGCTTCTCCCTGCCACTCTGCCTGCTTGTGCTCTCGCTCTGATAAATAAATAAATAAATAAATAAATAAATAAATAAATAAATAAAACCTTTAAAAAAAAAAAGAATCTGAAGGAATATAAGTTAATTGCCTACTGAGAGTTGCCCCATTTTTAGTCTCTTTTCCACAACGGCTTGTATTAGGTGAGGGAAACAAGACTATGGCCTAGGAGGTGGTGAGTGGGTATGTGGTAATGATGGTTAACCTTGTTAGAGCCTGACATGGGCAATTTTCTGACCACTTAACATTGATGAACTCACCCCACCTCCCCATTAACCCTATGAGATAATCACCATTTACAGGTGATGAGATTGAGGCCCTGAATGGCTAAGCAACTTGACCTTAATCACACAACTCAGAAGCGGCAAAACGAGGATCAGAACCCAGGCAATATTGACTCAGAGCCCTAAATGCTTTCAAAATGCACCCACCTAAAGCATACAGTTCAATGGGTTTTAACAAAAGTCTGCACCCATGTAAGCACCCCCTTGATCAAGATAAAGAACTTTTCCTTTATTTCCCCCAAATACCCTCTGCAGTCCATAACCCCATCCCTGGCAACCACTGATCCCCTTTTGGTGACCATACATTAGATCTGTCTTTTCTAGAGTCTCATAGAAGTAGATTCATACAGTATCTAGGTGTCTGGCTTCGTTGTTCTGGGTCTTAGAGCTTCCCAGGGTTTTTAATCACTGCCTTATATAAAG